GGTTAGAGTGGCAAAGTATGTACTTTGGTTCTAGTTGGAACACTTGGCTTGGCGGGGAAATATTAGTCACATGGCCCACAGTGCAGTATGGCCTGAGCAATAGTCTATTTGCCTGAGAACTGGTTCTCCAAGTGGGTCATGCTGAGAGAGGACCATGTGTTGTACTTAAGAGACACAAGAAAGCCAGGACCCTAGGAGAAGCATGTAAAAGGAAAACCAGCCAAGTGGCTGGCTTTTCTGATCTCTTTCCAGAAATGTGGGCCTTTGCACGCAGAATTCCTCATTTAAACCCTGCCAGTCCTCTTTCACCTTGGAAATGAAATTCAGGCTTTCTTTTAAGTGATCCACCATTGGTAGATTACAGCATAATAGCAAGATTTCTTGTTTCGTATTTTCAGAGGATTTGGAGTAAGTTGGAAAGTGGCACATACGTTGGCACAAATTCTTAGTACTGTTTTCTGTCTTTGTTGGTAATACATTTTCTTTTCATTCCTTGAACTTTGTAGTCAAGGTAATCTTTTACCTTCTTAAAAATGGGTTTGGCATAAAGACCATTCAATCATTTCTCAAAGAAAAGGCTGCTGGGTATGTAGCTCACAGTCGGGTTGGACCAGAGTGGTTCGTGACCTTCCCATCACTCAGGCCTAGTCACCTCACACACAGTCAGCTCGAGGACGGTTGAGAAATCACCTGTTATCTTTTCAGCACAGTCTGTGTTAAGGGATAGTTTGTTTGCCGAGGCCTTTATTGCACAAAGCTTGCTTGTTGCCCACCTCTAGTCAGCTTGCCCTGAAAGCAATCACTTGCTGCTATAGTGCTTTTCGTAAGCTAGATAGCACATGAACATTGAAAGAACACACAGGCCATGGTCTTAGGACTAGTCCGGTTTGGAAGAGGCTTTAAACACTCTCAGGTGTCTTATGTTAAAATGGCAACCTGGTCTTGTGACTTTCCCATTTGGCTATGCTTCAACAGTCACTTATGTAATAGAAGCTGCTTTATAATCCACCCAGATGTGGCCCGCTCCTCCTATAATTTATAAAGCCCCTCTTCCAATTTCTTCTGGGTCATTTTCTTACAGAGCCCCGTAAGAATCGGCCGCCTGTTGCCATTGTGTCACCACAGTTCCAGGAGATCTCTCTGCCAACCACTTCTACAGTCATTGATGGCAGCCGTGAGTACTTGTCCAGCCGTAACGTTCCAGAAGAGCATTCACTGTGTGCTCTCGTAGAAAACTCTGGTAGAAGATTTGGAGCCAGCTATGTCTGCATTCTGTTTAGGCCAGTCTTCTTGACCGTGTTCTAGGAAGACCAACCATCGGAAGCAACTGATCAGGAAGTAAAAACCAGACAGGCTGGATTTACAATCCCCATGTGGCTTGTTTGAAGTAATATTTCTGCTCTGAGATGGTTAAAAAAGCAAGTGGCTTTATGCACATATTTAGCATTATTTTAGTTCAAATTTGGTGTTTTTCAAATTTGCTCAGATATAATTGCCATTCCCAGTTACGGAAACAAAGCTCCTTCTATCACAGCAAGATAAGTAACTGAGAGTCTTGACTGAGGAGCTCTCACCCAGCCTTCACTGCCTAACAAGGTTCGTGTCAGCCTTCTCCTGGAAAGACTCGCAGAATGTACTCTACACCCCTGCCTGGGCTCATTACATCTTACCCTTCAGGATAGTGTCACCTGATGGGTGCCATGAGAGGACTTCTGAGTCTTTGCCTTGGATCCTGACTATGTGTGTGCAGGAGGTTTCAAGCCTCCCATCTCACCAGCACTTGCCTGGTTTCTTCTGAGACCCGTTGAGGCCCTGTTACCCTGACTGTCTCGGCACTGACAGTGGGTTTTGGCAGAGGCAGTCACTGCTTTAGCAGAGGGATCTCTAGCAAGGTTAAACATTTCATGTAGATGGTTCTGGCAAGAAGAGGAGGCTAGAAGAATAGGAGGCCAAGAGGAAGGAAAGAGAACAGTAAGAAGCACTTGTGAGAGTACTAGAAATGGTTCTCATAGAGCCATTTTATTTTGTATTTTTGTAGCTTTTTTTTTTTTTTAAGGAAGACTAGCCCTGAGCTAACTACTGCCAACCCTCCTCTTTTTGCTGAGGAAGACTGGCCCTGAGCTAACATCCATGCCAATCTTCTTTTCTACTTTATACGTGGGATGCCTACCACAGCATGGCTTTTGCCACGCGGTGCCATGTCCGCAACCGGGATCCGAACCAGCAAACCCTGGGCTGCCGAGAAGCGGAACGTGCATACTTAACTGCTGCGCCGCCAGGCTGGCCCCTTATTTTGTATTTTTGAATAGGTCAAAGTTAAATAATACATAAAGGTATACTGTGAAAAGAATCGCTACCATCCCTGTCTCCCAGCTATCTAGTTTTCCTACAGACGATCAATAGTATTATTTTATGTATCTTTCCAGTGATAATTCATGCATATATAAGAAAATACATATGCAGTCTTTACGATAACACTGGATACACACTATTGTGTACAATGCTTGTTTCTATATGTTGGAGAATTTTTCTTGAATCAGTACATGAAATTCTTCTTCATTCTTTTCTCTTTTAATGATTACATGGCCTTCCATTATATGGATGTATAATTTCATTGTATGAATGTATACTTGTTTTCAATCAATCTCCCTTGGTGACCATTTAGATTATTTTTGGTCTTTTACTATTACAAATGATGTTACCATGAATAATCTTGTAAGCATGACATTTAACATACCTGCAAGTATATCTGTAGGATATATTCCTAGAAGAGGAATTGCAGGGGCAAAGATAAATTTTACCAAATTGCTCTTATGGAGGTTGCATCAACTCACACTTCCACCACGACTTATGAGTGAGCCTCTTTCTCCACACTTTTACCCAGATAATGTGTTATGAAACTTTGGTATTTACCAATCTCATAGGTTAAAAAAATGGTTTCTCAAGTGTAGTTTTTATTTGCATTTCTTTTATTTTAAGTGAGGTCGAGTATCTTCTCACATGTTTAAGAATTTTTGATTTTCCTTTTTTTATACAGTAGCATTTTAACCAGAGGTTGCCTGTGTTGCGTCCTTGGAAAACTACGCAGTGGCGTATTCATAGAGAGGCAGAATGACCCAATATTCCTAGGGAAGAAACACTCTGGAGAGAGAGTCTGTAATTTCATGACATTTTCCTAGCTTCAAGTCTCTGGGTAGTTGTCCTGGTTTGTGTAAACTGGATAAATGCTGAGACCCAGTGCTCTCATGTTGTAACTGATGTTTCTTTGTGGTCAAGAAAGCACTGATGATGATAAAATCGTGCAGTACCATTGGGAAGAACTTAAGGGGCCTCTGAGAGAAGAGAAGATTTCTGAAGATACGGCCATATTAAAATTAAGTAAGCTCGTCCCTGGGAACTACACTTTCAGGTAAATTGGGATCCAGCTTCAGGTTTACTATAGGCCTTTTTTTTTTTTTTTTTTTGGTCTTGTGGGTTTTACATTCTTATAGGAATAACTCTGACAGATATCAAATTCACTGTAGAGTTGGTTGATAATACAGCCTGTGATTCTATTGGTTCTCTGAGCCCTATGGTGATTGTGGTCACACGATGATAACATTTTAGGGCAGAGGGCCCTGCTTGGTAGATCAGGATCCACCACAGTTGTTCCTTCTGAAAGCCTTAGCTAGCAGATCTCCAAAGTTTTTTTAGGATTTCCGTCATTAAGTGAAAGGGCCCATCTTCCTTTGTCTTTTCTCAGGCAAAATCTGGAAGGAACCTACTCCTAGCTGTCCCTTCTCTTTGGGGAATGCTTCCTCAACTTATGAGATCTCAAAATCTTTACTTTTGATTAGTGGTTTATTTGAATATGATTTGTAGAATCTTTCTCTATTGGAGATTTTTGGAGAACTTGATTGAACGAAAGTCCTTTTGGGAACTAGTGGCGACGTTCTAGAATGTGATTAATGAGAGTGTAAGGCTGACTCTAGAGTAATCCTCCTTATATTTGCATAATTCCTTGTATGTTACAACGAATGTGTCCATGAGTATCATACAAACACCATACGTGCAAGATACTGTCTTCATTTTACATCTGAGGAAATGAGCCTTAGTCTATTTACTAACTTCTCTGAGGTCATACAGCTAGAACTGAAATGCAGATTCTCTAACCCCCAAGTCAAGGCTTGTTCTGCTCCACTCCGTGACTCCTTGACTTGACCTGTACATATTTTGTTTATGCTTCCTTGCATGCCCTTCTCAATCTGTTGAGTTCTGCCCATCCTTAAGGACCTGCTCAGTTTTCCACGAGGCTCTCTGAGATCCCTCCATGGAGGACAGGATATGTCTCTCCTCTTGTTGCACTCAGTGCCTCTCTGGGGCACCTGCTGTGGTGCCCCAGCTTATTCATGGGCATCCGTCTTCCCCACTGGGGCTGAGAGGAGTCAGGTCTGACACACCACCAGAGCCACAGCAATGAGTGTCCTAGTGCGACATCTACCAGAATAATAAATACACAAGTTTTGACTTAGCAGCACTCCCATTGACTCCAGACTTCAGGTGAATGAAGAGTAGCTGCCAGGACAAGATTGGAGCCTTCTCACTGGCTTAAAATGAATTTCTAATATAGGAATTTCAATGTTAATGGAATTTAGCCTGAGCCATGTCGATCCTTTTTAAAAATAGTAACAATAATAGCTACTGTTTCGTAAACATTTACTCTGTGTTTAGTACTGTTCTGAGCTGTTTGCATGCAGTATCTCATTTAATCCTTGTAACAGGTATTATAATTGCTCTTGTTTGACAGACTAGGAGATTTAGGCACAGAGAGGTTAAGTGACTTGCCCAAGGTCACACAGGCAGTTTGGCTCCATAGTCTGAGCTTTTAACCACAATGTTGGCCTGTAGAGTTTTGGGTGGATGGGGTATTGGGAGTGATTCTTTTTCTAAGTCTCAGTCTATGAAATGATGGGTTTGGGTTTGATTAACATTAAGGTCCAATCTTGTGTGATTCCACTTACCTTTTGCTCTCTCTGCTTTTATGTGGCAGTAGCCTCTTTCCCCAGCCCCATGGTCAGCTGCGGTTTCGTTCCAGGATACTTGCATGCAAGCCGGGGACTGCTCGAGGTGAAAGTTGGAGTAATGGGCAGCTGCCATTTGTCTACAAGTAGACAAATGGTTTTGTTCTGGAATAGGATATGTTAAAAAACAAAAAACTGAAAACAAGGAAACTGGAAAAAGAGAACTTCTCGGATTTTTCTTTTTCAGATGTTTGCTGATTTGCACATGTCTGTGTGTCTGATGTTTTTGTGCACTTTTTCTAAAGACTGTAATACCAAAAATGCCCTTCAGACCGTAGGGAAAAGGTGAGATTGTGGGTAAAACCCCACAGATGTCTGGCTCTGTCTGTGGCTGGTGGCGAGATTTAAACAAACGACATGTCTTTTCTATGCTTTTCCTCTTTCTGTCAGCAAAATGGAAGGAGCCCAAACCTCCTTGCTTGCTTATGCTCACATTTTGAGGTGGCAAGAGAAGCTTTAGGCTGTTCAGCTGGAAAGCATCATTTAGGTAAAAGCCTGCTCTTATAAATGAACATTTTTTTTTCTCTTGCAAATCCTATTTCACACTGGCACAAACTGTGGAACTGTTGCGTGGGAGAATGCATTTCCATCTCAGGCTCCTGTCTTACCAGAGCCAGCCCTCCTGGTCCATCCCAGAGGCTGTCTGCCTAGGATGTCCGTTCTTGTGATCTGTACTCAGCCGAAACAGGATGATGGGAGGCAAACCTGCTGCAGACAGAGCTTGCTCTATTTAGCGCAGCGTCCTTGAACCCCACGGGACTAGAGGCCAGGTATCCTCTTGTCTGAAGACTTGGTTTCTGGGCTTTGGGGTCAGAGAACTGGGCTTGCATCTTAGCTCACTGTGTAGCCCTGGGCAGCTTATTTAGCCTCTCTAAGCCTCCCGTAAAGTGAGATCGATGGTATCTACTCTATTAGATTGTTGTGAGGGCCGCATCAGACAGTGCTTCTAAAGACACGCAGGCAGCAGAGCAAAATGGTGCTGGAGACATATTGCCTGGATTCGGATCCTGTCTCTACTCCTTTCAAGCTGTGTGACCTTGGCAAGTTACTTTGGCTCTCTCTGCCTCAGTCTCCTCATAGATGTAAGGAGTAAAATGAGGACGGTACTTTACAGAGCTGTTGTGAGGATTTGATGAGATACAAAGCGCTTGGAACAGTGCCTGGCACAGAGTAAACGCTCAGTCAGTGTTAGCTTCTAGTATGACTGCCAGGAGGAATGGGTAAGAATTGGGTACCAGTTAGTAACCCTACCACCTTGGGATTCCTCAGCTTTGATTTGCAGTCCTCTCGTGTTTATTCCTCTTTCCTTAAGCCCATCTCTGATTGCACAACTCTCTCTGCCCTGATAGTTTGACGGTTGTAGACTCTGATGGAGCTACCAACTCCACCACTGCGAGCCTGACGGTGAACAAAGCTGTGGATTACCCTCCTGTGGCCAACGCTGGACCCAACCAAGTGATCACCCTGCCCCAGAACTCCATCACCCTCTTTGGGAACCAGAGCACTGATGATCATGGCATCACCAGCTATGAGTGGTCGCTCAGCCCAAGCAGCAAAGGGAAAGTGGTGGAGATGCAGGTAGGAGGGGGTAGTTTCTGTCTTTTCTTGCCCAGGGGGCTTAGAGCTGCTGGACTGGGTCACCCATCCAAGGCCTGTTTTTCTCCATTTTAATTACCAAAGTCAGATTTGTGCATAGAATACTTGAATTTTTTAAAAATCCAGAAAGTTTAAGGGGACTTTAATTAACACATTAGCAAAAACCTTTATCTTAAATGTTTAGTATTAGAGGAAAAGGCTAGGTGAGAGATGGTAGTTGTTCTAGATTATTCCAGAGGGTCAAAACTATTTAGAAGCTATAAGGGTGCAAACCTTAGTGAACTCTATTCCAAATTGGAGTCGACTGCCTGACTAGATGGTGAGCATCTTCTCTGTGGAGATATTTAAGAAGAGACTAGATCTGTCACCAGGCAGGTAATGTAAGTAAAGAAAGAAAACTGGATGGGGGCTCTGGCGAACTGGAGAACTTCAGCCCTGACCAAAGGGGTCAGCTGCTCTTCAGGTCCAGCTGGTTGTTGCCACATGGAAGTATGGTCCTAATATTGCTTGATCATCCAGCTTTTCAAGAGAAGACAGAAATCTAGACCTTTATGTGAAATTTTCTAACTTTTAAGACACTACAGGTCAAACAAAATGTCTGCAAGCTGGATTCAGCCCAGAGCCTGCCAGTTTTTACCCACCATTCTAGAGGAAGTTCCTACATTGGAAGTTTGCCTTAAATGATTTATAATGTTCCTTCTGACACTTAAGAGTCTATGTTTCCAGACTTGAGGCATGACGTGAAGCTCACATTTCACCTGGCTTTAGTTTAAGTATCATGTTAGGTTTTGCTTCTGTTGCAGAATCTATACAAACCTCACAAGGGGACAGTGTGGTGTTAGCGTCCTGAGTCGCTGCTGTGTTTTATTGAGGTAGCTTTATTAGGATCACTGCGTGGCTTTTGTAGGAAGAACATGGCTTTTAAAATTGTGTTATTTTATTTTACGTTCATGGTCTTCTCTCTGGCTTGGCTCATAGAGACTGACCTTGGTTATCTCTGCACATTTTCCCGTTCTCCCCTCCCTTGTGAGAGCTCTGACTTTATTTGAAGCTGCTGCTGTGTCAGGGAGGGCTGTTCCCTTGAAGGGAGAAACTTTGCAAGATGTTCCACAGGGGCTGATTCAGCATTCTCTAATTCTGCTGAACTGGGAGGTGATAGCCCAACGCCAAGCTGGGTTTAGAAAACTGGGTAAATCATTTCTACCAGAGGAGGACTTACTGTATGATGTTGTGATTCTGGGAGTCTGCTTTTCCACTTGTCTGTTTTTATATATTAGGGTGTTAGAACACCAACCCTGCAGCTCTCTGCCATGCAAGAAGGAGACTATACCTACGAGCTCACAGTGACTGACACAATAGGACAGCAGGCCACTGCTCAAGTGACTGTTATTGTGCAGCCTGGTAAGTTCCAGCCTTGTGGTGCAGCCTCTTCTGTTGGCTGGTCCCTTTAACCTTGGGGAAGAAGAGGGTTTGGGTTCTGAGCTATATGAGGGTAGAAGCAAGAGGCACTGTTCCATGAAGCCCCTGGCAACTTCTGTTGTCCATTCCCTTAGTGCTTTGTTCACAACCAGAGAGAAGGAGTACCTCACAGCCTCAGCTTATGCCCTTGCCCTTGGCTAGTTATCATTCCTTTGAGGGGACCTAGCAGATAGAGGCTCTGCCATCCCAAATCTTACCATGTCCTTTAAGGGCCAGCTTAAAGCCCACTTCTTCAAGAAAGCCCAACTTTATCACTCAAACCCTTTCATTTGAACTCCTGTAGTATTATATTTCATATTCAGCATGGCATTATAACTTCATTATGTTCCGTCATGTTCTTTCAGAATTGTTTTATATGTTTCAGTCTTACATTCTTCATTTGAGCTCCCTGGCTGTCCCCATATCTCCCACAGTATCTGACCGTTCTGTGGGCAGAGAGGCAGAATCCTCATGGCTTCCAGAACATATGTCCCAAATGATTGCTTTCCTTTCCCAACTGGACTGTCTGCTTTTGACTCCAAGGCTCTGTCTTTTAGAAAACAACAAGCCTCCTCAGGCAGATGCAGGCCCAGACAAGGAGCTGACCCTCCCCGTGGACAGCACAACCCTGGATGGCAGCCGAAGCTCAGATGATCAGAAGATTGTCTCGTATCTCTGGGAAAAAACACAGTGAGTATTGACACCAAATTCTTATTCATGCAAAGGCTCCAGACCTTTGAAGAGCAAGGTTTTAAGTAAACTTGCTTGCTCTTACTGACTTATCCAAGGGAGTGACTGAGAAAGAAATGTTTGTAATCCCAAACTTCAACTCTAAGAAAATGATATGAAATAATTCTTGTAGGAAAAAAAGAATGCTTACCATCAGCTAGTCCCCGGGCAGTATTTTTGTGGTCCTGGTGCTTTTACAGGTACAATCCATCTGTGAAAATGCATAGTTTAATTACACTTGAGAGGCAGGATGGAAGGGGTAATGGAGCAGAAAAATACCGTTGCTCAAAATTAACTGGGTAAGGCTGGCAGGGGGGATGGGGCAGAGCAACTATTAAGGAGAATTGAAAATTCATCTACAAAATGAAAGCATCGCTCTGTTATTGTTTCCTTGAAGACACCATTTACCAATTATGTTAGCCAGAGGCCAAAGGCAGTAACCAAAATAATGTTAATTAAACTGGAATTACATAGTTGACCCTGGTTCCCACAGTTTCTTCTAGCTCCTTTAAACCGTAACAAATGGAACTCAGATTATATGCAAGATTCTACAGGAAGCAAAAGAATTCCAAGGGAGAGTTAAAAGCATTCTCAGTTTCCAAAGGTAGCCACCATGGGACAGACTGGGTTTTTGTTTCTGTTGTTTTTGACCAGGGCGTTAGAGAGGGGCAGGAAGGGGCTTTAATTTGACTATAGAAACCACCTGACTTAACAATTGGTGAGTTAGATTCTAAAAATTATTTTCCTCAGCTCTTGATTCAGTCTTTTGGAGAACCTAATCTTCCTCAGTCCAGTGTGTTTTATTTATTTATTTATTTTTAAGATTTTTTATTTTTATTTTTTTCCTTTTTCTCCCCAAATCCCCCCAGTACATAGTTGTATATTCTTTGTTGTGGGTCCTTCTCGTTGTGGCATGTGAGACGCTGCCTCAGCTTGGTTTGATGAGCAGTGCCATGTCCGCGCCCAGGATTTGAACCAACGAAACACTGGGCCGCCTGCAGCGGAGCGCGCGAACTTAACCACTCGGCCACAGGGCCAGTCCTATTTATTTTTTTTAAAAGATTTTATTTTTCCTTTTTCTCCCCAAAGCCCCCCGGTACATAGTTGTGTATTTTTAGTTGTGGGTCCTTCCAGTTGTGGCATCTGGGGCACCACCTCAGCGTGGCCTGATAAGCGGTGCCATGTCTGCGCCCAGGATCCGAACCTGCGAACCCTGGGCCGCCGAAGTGGAGCGCGAGAACTTAACCCCCCAGCCACGGGGCCGGCCCCAATTGTGTTCTAATTATAACTGTTTGTTGAAAATACAGCTGATAAACCTGTCAGTTGAGTTTTATTAGTGTTTACAGCTGGAATAATGCTTAGCATAGCTTCGTGGAGGAGAATCTGTTTCAGGAGGGGCCACTAGGATGAGAGGTTATATGTTTCAACAGCAAAGCAAAAGTAGAAGTCGGCAGATTTCTCTGGTTGTCCTGCAGTTTTAAAGAAAGCTCTGGGGCATTTTGATGCTTGAACAGAAGAGCTCCCTGGTATGTGCAGCATTGTGCCCGGATGTTGGCACAGAGCTGACACCCCTGCTGCAGGTTACTGTGTGAGGCCACAGGGGAGAAGGAAGGAGGTAGGGTGTCCTGGGTCCTCTGTGGCCCCCGTGCAGGAGCTGGAGGGAGCTTTGCTTATAGAGCAGCAAAGAAGACGACGGTAGCCTTGAGAGTTCTTCTGCAGCCTTGGCCCCTTTCCCTTCCCTCACTTTTCAGCAGGAGAGAGTTTGGCTTGAGATTAAGAAATGCATTTTGCTTCTTTGCTGGCAAGAGCTGAACCAACTACTGAGCCAGAAATGCTTTTCAGAAACATCACTCTTAAATCATTCTTTTGATCAGAGACCTGTTCAGAGCACTTTCTTCCTCTCACAAACTGAAACAGCAAAGAGTTTGAATGTTCTAGAAGCTTATATAAGGGATAAGGCTAGGTGTGTTTCAAAGTTGGTGAGTGGAATTTTCTGATCAGCAGGTGGCCTGTATTTTGGGGCCAAATGACACTCTGTCCAAATGGAATATTTTTAAATATGCCCTCTCAAGGTCTGGGAAACAATAGTTCATGTCTTAGCTGAGGCAATAATTGTCTCCTCCTGCTGAGTCAGGGACGGGAGAGCAGCAGACAGGTGCAACTCCACCCTCTGGTTTCTCTCTTTGTCCAGGGGACCTGACGGGGTACAGCTTGAGAATGCTAACAGCAGTGTCGCCACTGTGACGGGGCTGCAGGTGGGAACCTATGTGTTCACCTTGACTGTCAAAGATGAGAGGAACCTGCAAAGCCAGAGCTCTGTGAATGTCATTGTCAAAGAAGGTACCTCCTTGCCTTGGGTTGGTGCAGCAGACTCTGGGGCAAATAACGGAAGAATCCATCATCTCTTGTTAGAGTGCAGAAATTGATTAGAGACAAGGAGTGGGAAGAAGGTTGGGGTGAGGGCAGCTATTATTTGCTTTCCTAAAACAACCTTTAAGTGAGAGTGACTGTGAGGTGAATTTTAGCTTCTTGTTTTCCCCTTCCTCCTTCCCTCCCTTCCTTTCTTCTCTATTGAATAGGGAAAGAATTAAGGTTTTTCCTTTGCGTTTTAATTTTGCGTTTGTGCTGCTAAGCCCCAGGGTTTCTGACTCTCCAGGTAGCTGCAGTGACACCTGCTGTCAGACCTCAGAATGACTGTCCTGCACGGTGGCTTCCTGTGCTCGGCCTATGAGCCTGCACGCTGAGGTCAACTTGAGGCAAGAGTGGACTGGCCTTGCTCTGGTTTGCAGGCGTGGTGGTCAGTCATGTTTTGGGGCGAGGGCTGTCAGCTGGTAGTAGGAAAACCCATCAGATATGCGGATGGCCTCCAGATGCAGTATCCTGAGCTCAGTAAACAGGGCACACACCTGCGTAAACAAAGTTGCAGGTGGGGCCCCAGATGAGCAAGGTGTCTCTCTCCCTTTTCTCTATCAACATAGTAAGGAAGGAATCAAAAAAGATGTTCAGAGAATAGCATTTTAAGCCATGTTTTAAAGAGAATTTGTGGTATCAGCTAGAAGCATCCTAAGCTCCAAGGGTTTAATACGTTTTGGCCCTTTGTTTCCAGTCATCACATACCTCCAAAGCAGAGAGATGGAGTCCTTTCAGGGAGGCTGCTGGAGAATACAGGAGGAAACTGCCCCTGTCCCCTCTATTGTACGGTGTCAGGAGAACATTTCTTTGAGTGGGACTCGAGCCTCAGGACCTGTGGCCCTGGTGGCTTTAAATCTACACTCTTAGTTCCTGCCATGGATAGGCACTTAGTTCTCCATTTAAGATGCTTTCAATGTTTAGTTTCCCCATAAGCATCATGAAGAAGCAGACCTGCTTTTCCAGAATGTTACGTTATTTCAGTGATTTCTCTTTGGTTAGAGATGAACAAACCACCTACCGCCAAGATAACCGCGAATGTGGTGATTACTCTGCCCACGGACACGGCAGAGCTGGATGGCTCCAAGTCCTCGGATGACAAGGGAATAGTCAGCTACCTCTGGACTCGAGATGAGGGGAGCCCAGCTGCAGGGGTAAGTGTGCCAGGAGCTGGAGAGCTACACAAGGTCAAGGTCGTGAGATGGGGAGAGGGGCCTGAGCCAAACATTCCAGTTTCAACCAAGTGGTCCCTTATATCAAACCTGGATTGCTCTCTGAAATCCAGAGAGGTTAAATGACTTGCTCAGGGTCACGCTGCAAGCTCCTGTGGCACAGAATGTGTTTCTGTCTCCTGATCCAGCAGCTGTGGCTGCATTGCCATTCCAGAGCAGAAACTGCCCAGCGTTGAAGCATTCCAGCCCCGAGGGAGCTTAGTTGTGACAAGCAGAACTGATTCCACGAAAGGAATGTGGTTTTGTTCTGCAACATAGCCATGTTGTTCAACCCCACAGGAGGTGTTAAATCACTCTGACCACCACCCTATCCTCTTTCTTTCCAACCTGGTCGAGGGAACTTACACATTTCACCTGAAAGTGACTGATGCGAAGGGTGAGAGTGACACAGACCGGACCACTGTGGAGGTGAAGCCTGGTGAGTTCATTTAGTGATGAGACTGAATGGAGTCCTGGATCAGCCAAGCAGGGCCTCGAGTGTGAGCAGACCTTCCCCCGCAGGGACAGAGCCAGTCGGCATGTCCAGCTTTTAAAAAAATCTGCAAACCCGAAGCCAAAAAATTCTTAGAGACTGTCTGTTCCAGCAACACCTCGCCTACCCACTCAAGTATATGGATCTCCCCCTACTCATCTCAGATGGAGGAACAGAAACTCAGAGAGGGCAGGGCTTGCTCAGCGTCACACAGCAGTTGTGTCAGAGCCAGGCCTTTGTGCTCCTGGTCCAGCACTTTCTCCTCTACACATGGCTGATGGGAGCAGGCTCTGGGTGCTTGGGGAATCAGAGCACAGGAATAACTTGAGTCATGATGGCTCATCAGCACCCAGATGCAGAAAACAATTTATTTTTATAAGTTGAGCCTCAGGCTTTGTCTGACAAGCCAGGGAAGGTAAAGTAACTGGTAACCTTTACATTTTCAGATTTTCAGAAATAAAATTTCTTTCTTAAATGGAACTATGTTTTTATTTTGCTTTGAGGCTAATTTGGTATTAGGGAGGAAGCAAGTGTGGGGGTCGGGTAGAGCTTTATAAATTCCTGAGCATCTGACGAGAAGGTATTAACTTTTAACCTGCTCTTTATTATCTAGGCCAAGCTCATGTATAGATGTCTTAATGGGAAGGGATCTTGGCAGGTCTTCCAGTCCTTGTCCTACCTCTTTGAAGGACAACAGCCAAGACACTATAAAGTCTCTTCTGTGTTTAAAATCAGATCACAGATTGTCTCCTAGTTATGTCAATTATACATCAGAACAGGCAAGTGGTGTATCCCAGTATGTGAATAAGGTATTCTGAATAATCACTTTTTTTTTTTTAAGATTTTTTTTATTTTTTCCTTTTTCTCCCCAAAGCCCCCCAGTACATAGTTGTATATTCTTCATTGTGGGTCCTTCTAGCTGTGGCATGTGGGACGCTGCCTCAGCGTGGCTTGATGAGCAGTGCCATGTCCGTGCCCAGGATTCGAACCAACATAACACTGGGCCGCCTGCAGTGGAGCGCGCAAACTTAACCACTTGGCCACGGGGCCAGCCCCTCTGAATAATCACTTTTAACTTCCAAGTGTAGCACAATGTTTAGGACATCATCAAATGTAAAGCGCAGTGTTCTCACGGTTCCAGAGCTGTAAAAAGACCGTGCAGCGGTGATGTTGCTCTAAGGAAATCCTTCTTTCTTGGCTGCTTGGATTTCCTTTGTGGTTACTGTTTTCAAACCCGTATGGTGGATGCATTCCCATTATTGATAAGATGGCTGAGATGAACATTTTCCCTCCCATTATTGTAGACAAAGTACAGCAGGTCACTGAAAATCAGGTGTGGATTGGGAGAGATTGCTGGATACTGCCTCCTTGGCCAGGAGAGTTCAGCAAAGCCGATTGGGCAGAGGCTTTTAAAACAAGCCTTGAAGTGTTTCTTCCCCGCTTGCTTCACTCATCCCCTTTGCCTCCTTGCTTCAGCCTGATCCCCAGCACGTGTGTGGCCATTCTCAGGTTGGTACAGAGACCAGGAGTGCCTGCCTCTCCAAGGCAGCCCCAGGTTGCATTAGTAGGAATTCTCTGTTGTCGCTTTGCATTTGAAGGAGGTCAGTTGCATTTCTGAGTGCTCTCACTGCTTTTCTCCTGTGCCAAAGCAAACGCACAGCGGCAGGGCTGTGTTAACTCTCCTACTCCTGAAGCCGTGACTGATCCACATGCTTTCCAGATCCCAGGAAAAACAACCTGGTGGAGATCATCTTG